ATTTGCTAAAAATTCTGTCGTCATTAGAATGTAAAATTCTGTGTAATTTGTCGCGTATTGTAGGTGCTGTTTGGGGCTACCAGGTAGCGTAGTTGGTTAAGGCACTATGCTACAAGCCGGAAGGTTGCGGGTTTAAATCCCGATAAGGTAATTGGATTTTTTCAATTGACGTAACCCTTCCAGCAGCACTATGGCCCTGGGGTCGACTCAGCCTCTAACACAAATGAGTACCAGAAATATTGTTCTTGGAGATAAAGGGCGGCCGACGCGTAGGGCTGACAACCTTGCCGCCATCTATGAGCCGATTGTCTAGAAAATGTGGGAACCTCAACATCTCACAACCTTATGGGCCTCCACGGCCTGTTACAGGGATAGCTTTATTTTTTACTTACTTACTTATTATAGGTATTGTTTATCTTCCGTGGTTCGTTGTGTTTATATGGTTTTGTTGCTGTTCAGATATAACATTATTATTAATTTTAAGTTCTTTATGTGTCTCTTCCTATCTTCTTGATTATAATATTCTGACTGAATTTTTCTCTTAAAATGTGCTCTGTACTTCCTGTCGTGCGGACTATTTTTTTTTTGTACCTGTTACTGGTAGGAGCCGGGATAGCTCAGTCGGTATAACGACTGGCTACGGGCTGGAAGACTGAGGGGTCTGAGTTCGAGTCCCGGTAGGGTCAAGAATTTTCTCTTCTCCAAATCGTCTAGACCGGCTCTGGGGTCCACCCAACCTCCTATCCAAAGGGTAGCGACGTCGATTTCCCATGAGGCAAAGCAGCAGAGGCCTGAAGCTTACATTATTCCATCTAGTACCGAAGTCAAGAATGGTGGAGCTAAACCCCCACTCGCCCATATCGCTTCATGATATAGTGTTTAATCTGTTAAGCACAGGGAAAATTTTACCTTTTATTCCCTTGATGCAGGGTAACCTATGTGTGGACAGTTGGTATGTATCTGGTCGAGATTTTCTCTGCATTCATGGAACCGGAGGGTTCATCACAGTCCGTTCTTTAACCCTGCAGAGATCCAGTTTAGTTCCATTTAAACATGCATATTTCCCTTCTCTATACAGGATGTCCGGATGAAAGGTATCTAAAATAAAATGATTATATCTCAGAAAAATTTTATTGTACACATTTATGGGTTACACCATTACAAAAGGAAACTATCAAAGATTTTCTCTGCCCATATACAGGGTGTTTCACGACTTTACGGCATAACTGCAGGAGGTGATTTCCTAGGTCTTTGTAATCAAAAAAGTTCATATAAACATGTGTCCGATTTTGGACGGTTACGGAGTTATGACCGTTTTAAACTCAGAAGAGAAGGCAACGATTACTGACAATAAACGGAACAAAATAATAAACAGGCATAGTACATGATACATTTAAAGTATGACTGTAAAGTTAACTTCGTGAAATTACCTTTCATTTGAATTTATTGGTGCTTAAAGCTGATTTTCGAAAATGCCACCGCCGGCCGCAACACAGGCTGCCGCTCGGTGGTGAACCGCGCCGGACATACCAACCCACCCCGCCTTAGGTAGCTCTCAAGTGTCGAGATAACGAGAACGCTCTGTCTGTAGCTGGCTAAAGATAGCGACCCGCCAGCTGACAGACGCGGTTCACACGAGGGCGTGTACGGGAATGAAAAAACGGTCATAACTCCGTAACCGTCCAAAATCGGACACATGCTTATATGAACTTTTTTGATCACAAAGACGTAGGAAATCACTTCCTGCAGTTATGCCCTAAAGTCATGAAACACCCTGTATAACTTCCTCAGTAAATTTAAACGTGGGCTCCCCTGGTGGCACGACAAATATCCAGGCTTGAAGCATGTTTGGTGTTACCGTAGGTACAGCGCCCCTTATGCGGGCTTTCAGGTGTTGAAGCTCGTTGATCTTAACCTGGCAGACACTGTTCTTCACATAACCCCATAAGAAAAATTTCAGTGGGGTTAAATCTGGCGACCTGGGAGGCCAAGCGATTGGTCCACGTCTGCCGATCTATCTCCCAGCCATCTCTCTGTCCAGGTGATTCCTAACATGGTGGCAGAAATGTGACGGCGCATGCGCGTAAGCCAGGCGTTAAGAAAAACTTACAGGCTTTTCCTTCCGATGACATAAACCGGATATGTGTATGACAATTACTTTCGGAGATATAATTTTTATATTTTGGATACCTTTCACCTGGACATCCTGTAGGTCCATATTATTCTCCTATTTGAAATCTTACTCTTGAGATTTTCCAACAGAAATTATTTTTGCATTTCTCATTTTCACGAATCTTCTTCACCTTCCAGCGTCCTCATTTCTTTGTGTGTAATTATTCTGACTGCTGCTGTAGGTGAAGACGGTGTATAAATTATAAAATTATTTTCTATGCAGTTTTCTGCTGTCTTTCATTACACCATCTTGAAACCACCATTTCCCTCTCCTGTAGCTCGCAGAAGGATACATGCAGGGGAGAGCCACAAGGAAACATATCCATAGGTGGGAGGATAATACTAAAATGAATCTTAGAGAAATATGATGCTGTTCTGTAGACTACCGATTACAGTGGCCGCACACGGTCTAAAGCATGAAATATTTTCGTCCTCTCAAACAATGGGGTTGTCGGTTCGAATACAATTCAAGGCGTGAATATCTGTCTGCGTTTATTCTGTGTTTGTGTAGGTAGATATCTCGCGACGGATGTCCTATGCTCAGAGTGGTAGCAACAGGCGAGAAAGAGGAGGGGGGAGTGTTATACTGTTCTCATGTGACTCAGAGTA